GATTTAGTTCGGTTATTCTCTGCCCTAATGCTGCATAGGTGATATTGTGTCCTTCCCAGGGTATTACATTTGGAGGAGCACAATATCCCTCTCTCTCTCACTGATGATATTAATTTTGATCACTTCATCAACTTCTTGTCTAATTTCTCCACTGTATAATTACTGTTTCTTTTTCTCCTTTGCAACCAATAAGATTTTTACAGGGAGGCACTTAGAGACCATGCATTTATCCTGATCTTCATCAAAATTTCCTCGATTTAGTATCCATTGATTATTCTAGCCTGATGCAATCTTTATTATCCTGATTACAAAATGATAACTTCTGAATTTCAACACTCCCTTCATATTTCTTAATCTGCTCTTGAAGTTTTGCTATAGATGAGAGCCCTCCTTTCTCTCTCCGACTCTCTCTGACTACCTATCTACCTATATATATAGCTATCATTTATTACTGGTAAGGACTCATGAATTCCTGCTTTTCTCAATGGTTTCTAACTCATTAATATACTTAACTATATTGATGTTCAAATCTTCCTAGATGTGTACAGTGGGAGTCTTTTCAAACTGACTCCTATATCCTTCTGACATACCCTAGCAGTTTTTGGACTATGTTCTTATTTTCTGACCTAACAAAGTATTTCCAGTTCACTTATGTCTACTTCGTCCTTAGACATTTCTCTGAGTTCAGTTCCTTTCAACAGGAAATTTTATTGAAAATCAAGATGTGGATGTAGGTATGCTCTTTGCTACTGGCATATCTTTGCTCCTTAGTCCTTTCAAAAGACCCATCTGGGAAATATATGCACATATACATATTTGCAATGCAAAACACACATGCATGCTCAAGCACGTTTACACACAGATGTGATTAAGATTAAGATTACCGATGAAGGACAGGTGGACATCATGGGGTCTCCAGATGTGATACTTGGGAAGGACACTAACCTTTATGCACATACACATGCATACACACAAACACATACACACACATATTGTGGAAATCATGAGTTTGCATTGGTACTGCCAATTTGACTCCATCCCTGCATCTACACGGGGTTCTTTCCAGTCTTTCCTTATTCCATATTTCTATGCTCCTTTTCCCTCAGTGAGAACCTGGGCACCCAATGACAACACATTTACACATTTATGTAATCTTATAATACATAACAATGTTTCAAAATTGCTTTGCTCGTTATCATTACAATAAAAAAATCAATCTTACTACCAAGCCTTCCAGATTTGCTTACAATTCTCACCTTGTTCCCACCACCCCCATCCCACCCTACATGAGACGGAGGTATATAGTCAAATATATAGTCAAATTTTGTGTTCCTAGCTACTTGGGTTAGGTTTTTATTTTTTATTTTTTATTGAGATGGAATCTTGTTCTGTTGCCCAGTCTGGAGTGCAGTGGTGTGATCTCGGCTCACCACAACCTCCACCTCCTGGGTTCAAGCAATTCTCCTGCCTCAGCCTCCTAAGTAGCTGGGACTATAGGCATGTGCCACCATGTCTGGTTATTTTTTGTATTTTTAGTAGAGATGGGGTTTCACGATGTTGGCCAGGCTGGTCTCAAACTCCTGACTTCGTGATCCACTCACCTTGGACTCCCAAAGTGCTGGGATTACAGGTGTGAGCCAACACACCTGGCCTGGATTAGTTTTTTCTTTCTTTTTTCTCTTTCAGTGTGCTTATGGTATTTATTTAATATACAAATGCTTTCAGTTTTAGTTTTTTTCCTGTTATTTAATTTTATTATTTTAATATGTAGAATACTAATATTCTTTTTTGCAGACAAAATTATACAGAAAGGTATATACAGGAAAGGTCACTCCTCCATATTTCCCTCCCACTCTGTTCCTTCTTTACCCCTCAACTCCATCATTTCTTGATTTATCTCTCCTGTTTCTTTTTGTAAAAATAGGCATATACATACTTCAATTTTTTTAAATTTTCCCTTCTTACACAAAGGTAGCATATTACATGCTGTTTGTACTTCACCTTTCTCACTTAATAATATCTCTGGAAATCACTCCATATCAGTGGACAGAGATTTTCTTCTTTCTTGTTTTTACAGCTGCACATTAATTCCATTTTGTGTATTTACCACATTTTATTCAACCAATCTCCTATATTGGGCATTTAGATAATTTCAAATACTTTGTGAATCCACATAAAGATGCCAAAATAACCTTGTACATATATATTTTGATATTGTTGGAGGCTGAGCTTCAGGGTGAATTCCTGAAGTTGAATTACAATGTCAGTGAATAATACATAGTTTAGCTAAATATCATCATATTCTTCTCAATATTGGTGGCACCATTTTGCACTCCCTTCAGCAGTATATGAGTGTGCATGTTTTCCTGAAAGCCTTGATGACAGAGAATATTGTCAAACTTGAAATTCATGACCATTAAATGGAGAAGAACTGATGTCTCAGTACATTTAAAATTTGAATTCCTTTTATTATGAATAAATTTCATGTTTTTCAAGTGATTAAGAGTATTTTAATTTTTGTGTGTGAATTATTTATTCATGGCTTTCGCCCATTTTTCCATAGGATTTTTCAGTTTTTTATCCTCAATATTTGTAAGTTATCAACTAAATATATTGATAAAGATATGTATATTGATATATCATCTGAGATATATGTTGTAAATATTTTCACTTACTTTATTATTTGCCTTTTGACTTTGCTTTCTCTCTCATGCATATTGTTTTTATTTTTAAGTAGCTAAATTTATCCATCTTTTCTTTCATTGCATATACATTCATACAATTGTAGTTATATATATTTGTACCATATAGTATATGTATATGCACACATATATAACTATATATAGTATTTATATACTATAACTGTACATATATATGTATCTACAAATATAGCTATAGATAGATATGCATGCATGTATTATGCATATATATAGTTAAGAAAATATCCTTTTTCTCAAGAGGTTTTAGTAGGAATGAGTGTTGAATGTTGCCAAAGATTTTTTAAACAGCTATGGAGATTATTCCTATCCTTTTTCTCCTTAATTCTGTTTATATGGTAAATTATATTAAGCAATTTTCTATCATCAAATGCTTCTTGCACTCTTGGTATAACCCTTAGGTAATGTTTTCAATTCCCATCACTATGTCTCAGATATTGGGGTCTCTAGTGCAGTGGCCTTGCCTCTATTAGCAGACACCTTTCTGAAGTCTTTAAAAGTATTTCTCACATGTTGTCCCTGAAATCATACCTTTTCTTTACTATTTTCTCTTCTTTGTGCATATTTTTTATATGTATCACACTGTATGTATTTGTTTAAATGTCTAGCTCTTCCATTAAATTTTACATTCACTGACGGCAATAAGCTGTTCTTAGATTTTTTTTTTATATCAATTTCATGAGTGTGGAATCCACAAACCCTAAACTGGCCATCCAAAAGAGGTATTCAGGAAAAGTGCTTGTCAGACTTTTCTAGTAACTAGCCACAAAATTAAAATCAATTCTTATTTATTATTGTGTTAGATTTCAGATCTATTAGTCACCAAAGCATGTCCCTTTGAATCAGTGCAATGACTTTATATTTAAGAAAAATCCAATGCAACCCAATTATCTGTAAGAGTGGAATTAGGCTTATCTTAAACCAGTCATGCAAAAATGATTTTACCATAGATGGAATTTTCAGATCCCTGTTCATCTTGCCATTCAGCATTAACAGATACTTATGCTCTGAAGAGAGAAAATACAGAATAGAGAGGTTAACTCTTACACGTCGCTGTCAGGATATCAGGTCCACTATCAAACTTCTCTGCAGGATTCATGTAACTGTTGTTCTATCCCCTCCAGCCTACCTTCTTGGCACTTTTAAGTATTTTCTGGTGATAGTTGAATGGTATAATGCTGTAGCCAATTTTATTTGCTGATATATCTTCTTTGGACAGTAAATGGGACTTAGTCTGACACAACTCAGGGCAAATGTGCGTAAGTTTCTGGCACTTACCGAGGGTAGCTGGATATGGCCCCCGCCAAGCTCTTTTCTTTATGTTGTGATATTGGGTTTGTTGCTCTTCCTTATTACTCCCCCCAGTGTCCCTCCCCACAATCACAATGCCACAGTCTTTGAACAAATAGGAGGAATCTGAGTGAGCAGAACAGGAAAGACTTTGGAGATTTCGCTAACAGAGATTGGAGGATACAAAGATGCTATCTGAGGAGAAAAATTCACATTCTGTTATTCCCATTTCTATGTTATTTATACCCACAAAATATCAAGACCCATCACAGATGCACCATTCAAGCTTTGAGGATAATTCCAATGGTGTTCTCTGGCCCTGACCTAGCTTAAGGTCATAGTGTCCTGCTTTCTGGTCATGGCTTCCTGACTGCAGCATGGTGCCTTTGTTAGTAATCCCGGAAATCCAGGAAAAAGGCACCTTTGTAGGAGCTGGGAAATAAACTGCCTTAATTCCCCAATTCTCACTATGTGTTTCTGCCAGTTAATGTGGACACCCATCCTTTAGCTGGTTGACACAGCCATGATTGCTGCTGTCAAAAAGTCAATTAGGCTATGCATCTCAGCCTTCATCTCAGAGAGAAAAAAGTTTCTGTATTTCTGAAGATTCAACCTTCAGGTTCAAAGTCACCATCCTAAGTCTGGGTGCCAAAAGGGCTGCCTTTAAGGACCTCTTCCCCTGTTCAGAGTCTCTGAGACATTTTTCATTATCTCTCACCTTAGTAAATTTCTCTAAACTTTCTTTTCAACTTCTGATCTTGATTACTCTCTTTTCTCTTTTCATTTCCTCATGTTCTTTGACACTTTCTAGAGCATCCCACCCCATAGGGTTAATTATTTCTACTTTTCTTTATTTTCTGTTACAATTTTTAGCATATACTACCAAAGCATAAAAAACCAATGTTTACTCAAAAGCACACAAAGCAGTAGCTCTTGTCTATAGTAAAAGAAGATACCAAAGCAATTAAAGATCAATTACACTCTAGGCTAGAAATCAGAGAGCTGGGTCATCATTTTGGTTTTACCATTTCTAATTGTGTGACCTTGGACAAGTCAATTTCACAGAACCCTTAACTCATTATTTGTAAAATGACCTCTAATACCCATCCTGGTCAAATGTTCTATGATTTTTAAAAAGTTATTTTGGTGAAGTCAACCATATCTTCCTGTTAAAACAAAACTCATGTTGAACCAAAGAAAATAGAAAATACTCTTTTTTTTTTTTTAAAGCATGCATTAGGCACTTACATATGAGCTAAAATATGCCTACCTCTGGATCTATATGTGTAGGTTAACTATTGCTACAATGTTGTGTAATAATCACACAATTTCAGTGGCATGCAACAGTATTTAACTGATGTGCCTGTTGAGGTAGGCTGTGGGTTTTGCTGATCTAGACTGGCCCAGCCTTGGGTGGTTCTGCTCCATGAGCCTTTCTTTTTCTTCTTGGCACTAGTAGGCTAGTCTGAAAATGATCTTCTCATGGTGATGGTAGAAAAGAAGAGAGTGAAACCAATCATAGAAGTACTTTTCAAACCGTGGGTTAGTCATGCCCATGATACTCCATTGCAAAACAAATCACAAATCACATTGTCAAGTTGAGGTGTGCTCCTGGTGCAGGTGGGTAAGGAAATGAATATATGCATAACAATGTTAACTAACACATAGTGCTTTGGAAATGAGTGACAAACATGTTTACATATGGCTTTTTCTAAGTGAAAATGAAACTTTAGGGATTAGAGTCTAGTATTCCTATTTCTCCTATGAGACAGAGCTAAATTCACTTCTAGCGACAGGAGTTGCTGGTTGAGACACTCTGTGAATTTACTTGCACACAATTTAGGGTTCAAATGAAACTGTCATTTTAGTCAAATAAGGGTGGTCAAGCTCACAGCACTACCTAAAAGGCAACTGGAGCCCCTCCAATTTGCAGGTTTGTGAAAAGTTCCTCTGAACTACTCACTGAAGATCCCTCCATTTGTAAGCAACTGCTCACTCTATTCAAGTGGTAATGAATGTGCAAATGCTGGCTGGAACTTAATTATGAGACTAAAAGAGTGTACTTCAAAGAAGAGCTAATATAAAAACACAGTGAGACACCTGTCATGTGATAGATTGATAAATTACATGGATTTATGTTATACTGTAAAACTGTCTCTCCCTTTAGTGAAACAATCCAAATACCTCCAACTCTGCCACTCTCTACCCCCACTTTCTACTTATATTCACATGTTCTAGTAAAACAGTAAAATAAAGCCATAATGCTTTGTACACAAATTACTGATGATTAAGTCGCATTAAATACAAATAACTATACACATGAAGCAAAGCAACAGCCATACATATGAAGCTAGCATGTGTTTCTTGAGAACTAATAAGGAATTATAGATAAATAATTAAGGCAGGTAAACCATTTATTTTTCTAGTTGTTGAGCTGTATTTCAGTAATCTATTGCCATGTAACAAATTACACTCAAAATTAATCGTGTTAAACAATAAGCACTTACTATTTTATAGTGTTAGAAGTTCAGAAGTTTAGAAAAAGGCTTAGCTAGGTAGTTCTGGCTCTCTTTAGGTCTTGGTCAAAAGATCAACTGAAGTTGCAATTATCTAAAGACTTGACTGGAGGCTGGAGAATCTGCTTCCAAGATGGCTCCCTTACATGGCTGGCAAGTTGGTGCTTATTAGCAAAATACCTCAGTTCCTTGACAGGTAGATTTCTCCATAGGGTTGCCTGGGTGTCTTCGTGGCATGGGAATGGACTTTTCCCAGTGTCAGGGGTCAAAGAGAGTTCAAAGTGGAAGCCACAGTGTATTTTGTGACCTAGCCTTGGTCATTTCTAAGCTTTTTTGGCTATACCAAGGATGAGACTGGTACTCCATCTCAACATTGTGCAAGTGCACTACCTTGAGTGTGAATACCTCCTTAAATTTTTTTCCCTAGATACATTGATTGCCTCACCTTAATCCTGGCCCCAGGTTACACAAATCATCTGTATTCAGCATCGGAGGGAACAGTATAAGGGTGTGAATAGTAGGAGGCACAAACATTGGGGCTCATCTTGGTGGCTGGCCACCACAAGAGTTAAGCATCTACCTAAGATTCTGAGTGATGAGAAAGAACTTCCACTGGCTCGATGGTTCTCAACTTTGCTGAATATGTGAATCATCTGAGAGTGCTGATGCCTGTGCCTCACTCCTCAGACATTCTGATTTAATTAAACTGAAGTGTGACAGCCATGGTATTTAAGAAAAAGACATAATCTCCAAATAACTCTGCACAAGGTATTCTCATGTGCAGTCAGGGATAAGCATACTGCAAGTGAACTGAACTTTCCTTTTGAGACTAAAGTCCACACAGAATTTGCCTATCACTATCTGTCAACAACATCTGTTTTTCCCTCCTGGAGCAGGGAGTGTGGGAAGGTTTCAAGAGACGAGAAGGATTAGTCATTTATTCCCTCACAAACTGTTGCTGAATACAGAACACGTCTGGCTGACTAGGTTTCTTCTCTGACACCTGCAAATTCTGCTTCAACTGTTCTGTAAAAGATTGGTAGGAGCAGGGTTAATTAATCAGTGCTGATCTGATTTGAGGCTCTTTCTCTTTTTCAAAACAGATCAAAACAGGCAGGTTAAACGAACAGGAAAGTCCCCAGATGAAAAAGAGAAAAACAGGAATTAGATGAGTAGCGTTGGACGTAGGCTGCCTGTTTATTTACAAAACAGTTTGGTACCAGTTTGATGGACGTACACACGAAGGCACTCAGATGAAACCACTCTTGGCTAATATAATTTTAGAGGCCAGTGGAGTTTTATATCTTCCGTGCTACTTGGTTGTTGGCTAGTTATCTCTTTGATCCCTCTTCATCCGGGTCCACGTGGCAGGAGTCTGGGCTGAACATGGTGGGAAGACAGTGAAGGAGGATTGAAAATATGGTTCCTGTGCAAAATATTCTGTTTTCTGTCCATGAAAATAAACAACAGAATTTCAATATGAAGACTAACCATACTTCTCCATTACTTGGCAGCCTCGTTAGAACTTTTACATTTTCTTTTTCCTGTAATTATCATCTTAGGGAATGCAACAAAGGCCCAGGATTTTGGCAAGGAGTTTACAATGTTGATAGATGTTCAAATAAGAGGATCAGGCATAGGCATACACTTGAAACCATTGCTGTCCCTCCCTCAGAGAATTTAAGTGAAAATACCATATTTTTTTAATGATGGCAGACTAATGTGTACTTCTTACATAAGCAAGAAAACCACTACAAATTGCACTGAGTGTGAACATGACATATCCTCTCACTCTTGGTTAAGCTTCAGGCATTTGGAGATGAAGCGGGGTGAGTTGCTGGGAAAACAGGTCACTCACTTCTGAATTCCATTTCAGCTGCAGCAAAGGCGTGGCTGAAGAGCGACGATATTAATAAAGCACAATGTCTACCTTCTCAATAGGATTCCAGCAGAGTTCTGCCATGGGGCAAAGTCTCACGAGACTAGAGGGTCTCCATCTCATGATAAGGCGGATCACTTTCGTTGGGCTCTTGAATGCAAGTGTACTTGATAGGAGGGGGTGGTGGCTTGAAAGGTGGAGGTCTTTCCATGCTAGGAACAAAATATTGGTCTTTCAGTGCCAAGAATGTGAGGCAGTCTTATGCACACACACACAGACGTGCTTTGTTTCTTTAAAGGAGAACACAGATTGATGAGAAAGAGACATACCCTCCCAGTTCTTTCAGCATTTTTGCTGGCATAACCCTGTGCTTGTTAGTCCTGTCAACCATTTGAACCTCATGATGTTACTATTAGTTAATATTTAGATGGTACTTTGTAGTTTGCAAAGCGTTTTTATCATAACATTATTTACTTTGTGTGCAGGAAATGCATCACCATCTACAGATAAAACTGAGGCTCAGAGGTTTTAAACAACTTACTCAAGATAACCAGACGGACAATTCAAGTCTTTTCACCAGAACTGATACGCTGCATGAAAACTGCCTCCTAATAGAAGAAATGTTTCTCTTATGTGGATTAAAATTTTCCTCCTGAGACTAAATCTTAAAATTCTAGGATTTAAGACTGAAGCTTTTCATATAGCCTCTTTGCTAACCCTAGCCCCAGCCTTTGCCCGAACACTCACTATGTACTGTGGGGATATGGTAGAGATGGGAAGTAAATCTCTTCTTGAGCCCTGAGTACTGGCTAGATAATGCCTAAATCCCTTTTGTTTGAATCAGTGAACATTCTTAAAGCCATCTTTGCACAAAGCACTATTTTATGTTAGTGCAAGTCATCTCTTTTTCAGAGATGCGTTAAAGAGTCAAGTTAGTGTGGAATTTAGCTATACAAATGCTCTAGCTATCTTGATATCAGGAAACAGAAATATATCTGTGAACATCTTTATGTCCATCACTCAAACACTTCCATGCCCTGGCAATCCATAGCCTCTTAGGAGAGATAAAGAGTGGGTGGTGGGGGAAGGAGGATGGAGAGATTGATTCTCATCTCCATATAAAACAAACATTTGAATACAGAACAATTTAAAAAATCAATTCAGATTTTCAGATTTCATTTGTTCATTTAATATAAAGCTCTCTAATCCCTGTTACCCAATTTTCAGATGCTTTAATGGAGACTTCATATGTATTAATAGGTAGGTACAATGCTACGAAATGTGCACTTTTGTTTTACTTTTGTTTTTTGGAGGAATTATGAGTTTCTCAAGGTCATATGGTGGCCAAATTGTAGTCCTTGGAAAAGAATACAGAATTTCTAACTTCTGGTTTAGTGTTGTATTCACCACTCCCTGTATGGGGTTATAGAGTCTTCAAGGATACTCTGCAAAAGGTAGAAAAGCATATGGCAAGATGGTCAATGTTATCTTAGAGCAGTAGTAAGACAAGTGGAAGATCAGCTCTGGGTACTGGGGTCTCTTCCAATGATGGCCCAACCCAGACTGACTCAAAATAGCAAGTCAGAAAAATGAGGCTTAACCTTATGTACCATTTCAGCCTGCTGATTGGAGAAGGGTTTTGGAAAACATTTCAACAAGACAAAAATGAGTAACCCAATGCTTACTTTCTTTTCTGCTTGGGAAAAGAGGAAAAGGGCAGTAAAAGCCCACCCTAGTAAAAAAGCGGCTGGAAATCTCTTGAAATTATCTTTCTCACTCAATTTCACACTCGAGCACCTAGGACCAGCGGAGCCTAGGCAGTTCAAAGATGCATGAAAATGAAAAAATAATGAAGATTGAAAGAAAAATCAGCTTTAGTTTTGAGGGGAGGTAAGGCTCAGTTCTCATTTCATGTCCACAGACTCGCTCTATCTGATGAATGTTACAGCCTGACTAGGCCAATGCAGAGAGGGATACTGAGTCAGGAGTTGTGTATTTAATCCCAACTGTGTGATGCTGGGAAAGCTATATAATCTCTCTGAGCTTCTGTGAGCCTTATTTCTTCATTAAAATATGGGAGGAACTTCACAGAGTAATAATATATTGTACTGATGAACATTTTACAATGAAAAGTTGTCAGTTCCTATATATGTTAATATTATACTCACATTTCTTTTTGGTATTGACACCATTTTCTCACTCCAAGACCAAACAATATCATGCAGCAAAAGAGTAAAGCTGCTACAATCACTGGCCAGGACATTCCATCTTTGGGCTTACTGACCACAATACCTGAAAAGGGCATAAAGAAAGATGAACTTTAATCCCAAACTTTGGCTTTTGGAAAACAGGATTAATTAAACTTTTTCTCCTACGTGAAACATATTTTCTTCAAAGGCCGTGGGGATTCTCATTGGCTATGATCATACTCTGGAGGTGGGCATGTCTATGCCTTGTTACCTACACGAGGTGATAACTTTTAAGAGTTAATGATGTATCCTACCAGAAAATTTCCATGGATATATATAAGCATACATATGTACCATGAATATATACCTCTTTTATTACAATTGGGGGCATATTATACACACTATTCTGTCCATGGCTTCTTTTTTGTTTTTTCACTATTTTAGGTTCGGGGTACATGTGCAAGTTTGTTATATAGGTAAATTACTTGCTGTGGGGATTTGGTGTACAGATTATTTTGTCACCCAAGTAATCAACATAGTGCCTGATAGGTAGGTTTTTTTTTTTTTTTAATATTTACCCTCCTCTCAACCTTCAGAAGGCCTCAGTGTTTGTTGTTCTCTTCTTTGTGTCCATATGTACTTAATGTTTAGTTCCCACTTATTAGTGAGAACATGCTGTATTTAGTTTTCTATTCCTATGTTAGTTTGCTTAGGATAATGGTCTCCAGTTCCATCCATGTTGCTGCAGAGAATATTATGTCATTCTTTTTTATGGGTTCATAGTATTCCATGGTGTATATGTACCACGTTTTCTTTATCCAGTCACTGTGGATGGGCGTTTAGGTTAGTTCCATGTCTTTACTATTGTGAATAGTGCTGTGATGAACATATGTGTTCATCTGTCTTTATGATAGAACAATTTATATTCCCTTGGGTATATATCCAATATAATAAGATTGTTGGTTCAAGTAGTAATTTTTTTTAAAGTTCTTTGAGCAGGAGCCAAACTGCTTTCCACAATGGCTGAACTAATTTACATTCCCACTGGCAGTGTATAAGCGTTCCCTTTTCTCCACAATCTCACCTGCATCAGTTTCTTTCTTTTTTTTTTTTTTTTACTTTTAAGTAATAGCCATTCTAACTTATGTGAGATGGTATCTCATTGTGGTTTTAATTTGCATTTCTCTAGTGATTAGTGATTTCGAGCTTTTAAACTAATCTAAGAATGTAAAAACCATTTTACATTTTTAACATTTTACATTTTACATGTTTTTAAAGAATAAGAGGCCAAAAGATGTACACCTGGCCTCTTTTTCTTATAAAACATTCTTGGAATACTTTCCACAGCACTGCACAGAGATTTATCTCATTCTGTTAAATGACTGAATAGTTCAATGGATATACCAGTTTATTTAATTTATCTCACAATGTTAGATGGTTAAATTGTTTCCAGACTTTGTTATTGCTAATGATACTCCAGTGAAATTTCTTACACATGATAGATAGATCTTTAGGTACTTCGATTACATAGATCATTTGGGCAAAAAGCTATCTGGATTGGTTTTCTTTCCTTGTCTCAACTAGGTAGCAAACTGCTTGTGAGTGAAGCAGGGATTTAAATTTCTTTCATTTCCCCGTTTTTATTACACTGCTTTTCATACAGCAAAATCTCAAAAAATACAGGTCAAAGAACTAGATTTAATATTTGCTATCACATCTTTTCTGTGTTTGTACAAAGCCTGGACTGAAACCATGTGATGTTATCATGTTAGCATTGGTTAGAGTGTTGAAGACTTTTCCCTTTCATACAACATACATCCAGGGATTCGAGGTCTTCCTGATTCTCACCCCTGTCAACGTAGAAACTGAGGGTTCCCTGGAGACTCATGTAGTCCAATAATACATAATCATGTGATACATTGTATATACAGATGACTAGAAAGTTTACATAGTTCAAACCACTAGAGTAGCGTGATCATGAAAGAGACAATTGATCAACTCAAGTCTGGACAAAGTTCTGTTTCACACAAGTCAACATTTACTAAGCTCCACCGTGGTAATATGGTGAGATATAATATTTTACCTCCAAAGTTTTAGATAAAGGAAAGAACAAAAGGTTTTATTTTATTTTTCTATAAGTTATTGGGGTACAGGTAGTATTTGATTACATAAGTAACTTCTTTAGTGGCTATTTATGAGATTATGGTGCACCCATCACCCAAGCAGTATACACTGCACCATATTTGTAGTCTTTCATCTGTCGCCCCGTCCCACTCTTCCCTTCAAGTCCCCAAAGTCCATTGTGTCATTCTTATGTCTTTGTGTCCTCATAGCTTAGCTTCCCACATATCAGTGAGAACCTACAATGTTTGATTTTTCATTCCTGGGTTACATCACTTAGTCTCCAGTCTCATCCAGGTCACTGCAAATGCTGTTGATTCATTCCTTTTTTATGGCTATGTAGTTTTCCATTGTGTGTGTGTGTGTGTGTGTGTGTGTGTGTGTGTGTAGGTATGTATGTATGTATCTATCTATATATCTATCTATATAAAAAACAGTTTCTTTATCCACTCATTGATTGATGGGCATTTGGGTTGGTTCCACAATTTTGCAATTGTGAATTGTGCTGCTATAAACATGCATGTGCAAGTATCTTTTTTGAAAATGACTTCTTTTCCTCTGGGCAGATATCCAGTAGTGGGATTGCTGGATCAAATGATAGCTCTACTTTTAGTTCTTTAGTTCTTTAGTTCTTTAAGAACTTCTTTAGTTCTTTAAGGACTCTCCACACTGTTTTCTATAGTGGCTGTACTAGTTTACTCCCCACTAGCAGTGTAGAAGCATTCCCTGTTCACCACATCCATGCCAACATCTACTATTTTTTAAATTTTTTGGTTATGGCCATTCTTACAGGACTAAGGTGGTATCTCCTTATTGTTTTGATTTGCATTTCCCTGATTATTAGTGAGGTTGAGCATTTTTTCATATGTTTGTTAGCCATTTGTATATCTTTTGAGAATTGTCTATTCATGTCCTTAGCCCACTTTTTGATAGGGTTGTTTGCTTTTTTCTTACTAATTTGTTTGAGTTAGTTGTAAATTCTGGATAGTAGTCGTTGGTCAGATGTATAGATTGTGACAGTTTTCTCTCACTCTCTGGGTTGTCTGTTTACTCTGATTACTGTTCCTTTTGCCATGGAAAAGCTCTTTAGTTTAATTATGCCCCAGCTATTTATCTTTGTTTTTATTGCATTTGCTTTGGGTTCTTGGTCATGAAATCCTTGCCTCAGCCCATGTCTAGAAGAATTTTTCCAATGTTATCTTTTAGAATTTTTATAGTTTCAGGTCTTAGGTTTAAATCCTTAATCCATCTTGAGTTGATTTTTGTATAAGGTGAGAGATGAGGATCCAGTTTAATTCTCCTACATGTGGCTAGCCAGTTATCCCAGCACCATTTATTGAAAAGGGTGTCCTTTCCCCACTTTATGTTTTTGTTTGCTTTGTTGAAGATCAGTTGGCTGTAAGTAGTTGGGTTTATTCTGTTCCATTAGTCTATGTGTCTATTTTATACCAGTATCATGCTGTTTTGATGGCTATGGCTTTATAGTATAGTTGGAAATCAGATATGTGATGCCTCCAGATTTCTTCTTTTTACTTAGTCTTGCTTTGGCTATGTGGGCTCTTTTTTGGTTCCATATGAATTTTAGAATTGTTTTCTGTAATTCTGTGAAGAATGATGGTGGTATTCTGATGGGGATTGCATTGAATTTGTAGTTTGCTTTTGGCAGTATGGTCATTTTCACAATATTGATTCTACTCATCCATCAGCATGGGATGTGTTTCCATTTGTTTGTGTCATCTATGATTTATCTCATCAGTGTTTTGTAGTTTTTCTTTTAGAGGTCTTTTGACTCCTGTGTTAGGATATTCCTAAGTATTTTATTTTATTTTATTTTTTGCAGCTATTGTAAAAGGGGTTGAGTTCTTGATTTGATTCTCTGCTTGGTTGCTGTTGGTGTATAGATGAGCTACTGATTTGTGTACATTAATCTTATATTCAGAAATTTTGCTGAATTCTTTTATCAGTTCTAGGAGCTTTCTAGAGGAGTCCTTAGGGTTTTCAAGGTAAGCAATCATCATCATCAAACAGTGACAGTTTGATTTCCTCTTTGCTGACTTAGATGCCCTTTATTTCTTTCTTTTGTCTGATTGCTTTGGCTAGGACTTCCATTACTACGTTGAAGAGGAGTGGTGAGAGTGGGCATTCTTGTCTTGCTCTAGTTCTCAGAGGGAATGCTTTCATCTTTTCCCCATTCAGTATTATATTGGCTGTGGGTTTGTCATAGATGGCTTTTATTACATTAAGGTATGTCCCTTGTATGCCAATTTTGCTGAGTTTTAATCATAAAGGGATGCTGGATTTTGTTGAACTTTTTTTTTTTTTTGTATCAATTGAGGTGATCATGTGATTTTTGTTTTTAATTCTGTTTATGTGGTGTATCACATTTATTGGCTTGTGTATGTTAAACCATCCCTGCATCCCTGGTATGAAACCCACTTGATCATGGTGGGTTATCTTTTTGATATGTTGTTGAATTTGGTTAGCTAGTTTTTTTTTTTTTTTTTTTTTAAGGATTTTAGCATCTATGTTCAGCAAGGATATCAGTCTGTCATTTTCTTTTTTGGTTATGTCCTTCCCTGGTTTTGGTATCAGGGTTAGGCTGGCTTCATAGAATGAATTAGGAAGGGTTCCTTCTTTCTCTATCTTGTGGAATAGTGTCAATAGGATTGGCAGCAATTCTTTTTTGAATGCCTGGTAGAATTCTGCTGTGAATTCGTCTGGTCCTGGACTTTCTTTTGTTGGTAATTTTTTTTTTTGAGATGGAGTCTCAGTTTGTCACCCAGGCTGGAGTGCAATGGCACAAGCTTCGCTCACTGCAACCTCTGCTGCCCAGGCTCAAGCAATTCTCCTGCTTCAGCCTCCCAAGTAGCTGGGATTATAGACGCCTGCCACTGCACCTGGCTAATTTTTGTATTTTTAGTACAGACAGGTTTTCACCATCTTGGCCAGACTGGTCTTGAACTCCTGACCTCATGATCCACTGGCCTTGGCCTCCCAAAGTGCTGGGATTACAGGCATGAGCCACTGCGCTCGGCCCTTGTTGGTAATTTTTAAATTGCCATTTCAATGTCACTGCTTGTTATTGGTCTGTTCGGAGTATCTAATTTTTCCTGATTTAAGCTAGGTGGGTTGTATTTTTCCAGAAATTTATCCATGTCTTCTAGGTTTTCTAGTTTATGTGCATAAAGGTGTTCATAATAGCCTTGCATGATCTTCTGTATTTCTGCGGTGTCGGTTGTAATATCTCCCATTTCATTTGTTAATGAGGTTATTTGGATTTTCTCTCTTCTTTTATTGGTTAATCTTGCTAATGGTCTATGCATTTTATTTACCTTTTCAAAGAACCAGTTTTTGTTTCATTTACCTTTTGCGTTTTTGTTGTTGTTTCAATTATATTGTGCTCTGATCTTGGTTATTTCCTTTCTACTGCTGGATTTGGGTTCAGTTTGTTCTTGTTTCTCTAGTTCCTAGGTGTGACCTTAGATTGTCTGCATGATCTTCTGTATTTCTGCGGTGTCGGTTGTAATATCTCCCATTTCATTTCTTAATGAGGTTATTTGGATTTTCTCTCTTCTTTTATTGGTTAATCTTGCTAATGGTCTATGCATTTTATTTACCTTTTCAAAGAACCAGTTTTTGTTTCATTTACCTTTTGCGTTTTTGTTGTTGTTTCAATTATATTGTGCTCTGATCTTGGTTATTTCCTTTCTACTGCTGGATTTGGGTTCAGTTTATTCTTGTTTCTCTAGTTCCTAGGTGTGACCTTAGATTGTCTGTTTGCACTCTTTTAGATTTTTGATGTAGGTGTTTAGGGCTGTGAACTTTCCTCTTAGCACCACCTTTGCTGTATCCCAGAGGTTTGATAGGTTGTATCATTACTGTAATTCAGTTCAAAGAATTTTAAAATTTCCATCTTGATTTCATTTTTGACCCAATGCTCATTCAGGAGCAGGTTATTTGATTTCCATGTATTTGCGTGGTTTTGAAGGTTCCTTTTGGAATTGATTTCCAGTTTTATTCCACTGTGGTCTGAGAGAGTGCTTGATATAATTTATTGAGGCTTGTTTTATGGCCTATCATATGGTCTATCTTGGAGAAAGTTCCATGCACTGTTGAATAGAATGTATATTTTGCAGTTGTTGGATGAAATGTTATGTATATATCTGTTAAGTCCATTTATTCCAACGTATAGTTTAAATCTGTTGTTTCTTTGTTGATTTTCGGTCTTGATGACTGGTCTAGTGTTGTCAGTGGAGTACTGAAGTCCCCCACTATTATTTTGTTGCTGTCTATCTCATTTCTTAGGTCTATTAGTAATTGTTTTATAAATTTGGGAGCTCCAATGTTAGGTGGATATATGTTTAGGATTGTGATATTTTCCTGTTATACAAGGTCTTTTACCATGATATACTGTCCCTCTTTGTCTTTCTTAACCACTGTTGCTTTAAAGTTTGTTTTGTCTGATATGAGAATAGCTAGCCCTGCTCACTTTTGGTGTCCACTGGCATGAAATGCCTTTGTCCACCTCTTTACTTTAAGTTTATATGAGTCCTTATGTGTTAGGTGAGTCTCCTGAAGGAAGCAAATAGTTGATGGGTGAGTTCTTATCCATTCTGAGGTTCTGTATCTTTTAAGTGGAATATTTAGGCCATTTACATTCAAAGTTAGTATTGAAATACGAGGTACCATTGCTTTCATCATGCTCTTTGTTATCTGTGTACTTCGGATTTTTGTTTTTGCTTTTTAACTTGTATTTTTGTTTTAGAGGTCTTGTGTGATTTATGCTTAAAGAGGTTCTGTTTTGATGTGTTTCCAGAATTTGTTTCAAGATTTAGAGCTCCTTTTAGCAGTTCTTGTAGTGGTGGTTTGGTGAAATTCTCTCAGGATTTGTTTGTGTGGAAACAACTGTACCTTTCCTTCATATATGATGCTTAGTTTCATTGGATACAAAATTCTTGGCTAAAAATTCTTTTGTTTGAGGAAGTTGAAGATAGGTCCTCAATCCCGTCTAGCTTGTAGGGTTTCTACTGAGAAATCTGTTGTTAATCTGATAGATTTTCCTCTATAGGTTACCTGGTGCTTCCATCTCACAGCTCTGAGGATTCTTTCCTTTGTCTAAACTTTGGATAATCTGATGACAACGTGCCTTGGCGAAGATCTTTTTGCAATGGATTTCCCAGGTGTTCTTTGTGCTTCTTGTATTTGCATGTCTAGGGCTGTCACAGAGCTGGGGAAGTTTTCCTTGATTATACCCTAAATATGGTTTCCAGGCTTTTAGAATTCTTTTCTTCCTCCGGTACACCGATTATTCATAGGTTCAGTTGTTTAACATAATCCCAGACTTTTGGGGGCTTTGTTCATATTTTCTTATTCTTTTTTCTTTGTCTTTGTTGGACTGGGTTAATTTGAAGATCTTGTTTTTGAGCTCTGAATTTCTTTCTTTCTTCTACTTGTTCAATTCTATCACTGAGACTTTTGAGAGCATTTCACATTCCTAAAAGTGTGCCTAAAGTTTCCTGAATTTTTGATTTTTTTTTCTTTAAGCTATCTATTTCCAGGAATATTTCTCCTTTCACTTCTTGTGTCTTTTTTTGGATTTCTTTGGACTAGTCTTCACTTTTCTCTGGTCCCTCTCTGATTAACTTAATAACTAACCTCCTGAATTCTTTTTCGGGTAAATCAGGGATTTCTTCTTGGTTTGGATCCATTGCTGGCGAACTAGTATGATTGTTTTGGGGGGTGTTGAAGAGCCTTATTTTGTCGTATTACCAGGGTTGGTTTTCTGGTTCCTTCTCATTTGGGCAGGTTCCATCACAGGGAAGGTCTAGGGCTGAAGGCTGTTGTTCAGATTATTTTGTCCCACTGGGTGTTCCCTTGATATAGGCGCTCTCCCTTTTCCTATGGATATGGCTTCCTGGGAGCCGAACTGCAGTGATTGTTGTCTCTCCTCTGGGTCTAGCCACCCAGTGAGTCTGCCTGGCTCCAGGGTGGTACTGGAGGTTGTCTGCATAGAGTCCTGTGATATGAACCATCTATAGGTCTCTCAGCCATGGATACCAGTGCTTGTTTTGGTGGAGGTGGCAGAGGGTGCAATGGACTCCATGTGGGTCCTTACTTTTGGTGGTTTAATCCTTTGTTTTTGTGCCGGTTGGCCACCTGCTAGGAGGTGGAGCTCTCCAGAAAGCATCAGCTGCAGTAGTCTGGAGAGGGACTGGTGGTGGGCAGGGCCTTAGAACTCCCAATATTATATGCCCGTTGTCTTCTACTACTAGGTTGGATAGGGAAGGACCATCAGGTCGAGGCAGGGCTAGGCATGTCTGAGCTCAGACTCTTCTTGGGCAGGTTTTGCTGCCACTGCTGTTGGTGATGGGGTGAGATTCCCAGGTCATTGGAGTTGTGTACCTAGGAGAATTATGGCTGCCTTTGCTGATTCATGCAGGTTGTCAGGAAAGAGGGGGAAAGCCGGCAGTCAAAGGCCTCATCGAGCTCCCGTGCAAACTGAAGGGCCAGTCTCACTCCCACTGTGCCCCCACCCTGCCAACAGCCCCAAGTCTGTTTCCAGGTGGAGGATGAGAAGGGCTTGAAAATTTGTGTGAGGCTATCCACCTCCCAGAGTATTTGGGGTGTCTCCTGGGTGCTACAGAAGCAGTCTGTTTCCTTCAGAGGGTCTGGGGGTTTTCTCGGGATTGCTGGTTTGTTCTTGCAGTTGACCTGGAGCTAAAATTCACAGTGCAAAACTGCATGCTGCAGAGTTGTAATCTAGTCCTGCTTTCTGTCTGCCACGATCCCTCATTTTTGCCAAACAAAAGATTTTAAAGAGGTCTTACATCAATGCCTACAATTTTTTTTTTCCAACCAAATATAGAAAATGAGACCACTGCCATCACAATGGAAGTGGAAAAGCGGAACTCCACTCCTGACCCATCTCTAAACTAGACAGCTCTTTAAGGCACCAATATCTTAAAATCTTTGTAGTACCTTAGTTTGCAGCTTTATTGCCACGACATGTGCAAGATGATGCTCCAATGATCAGAAGACTGTATGACCTTTGATACAAAATGAGCTGAGTACCTAGGTGTTGCGTTCACTAGTCAAGTGAACACCCCTGAAGTTGATTATGCTTGTGAACTTACAATCATGACCTTCATTAAGAGGGTCCTAACTTTATTGAATCTTTTGCCCTCTCATGATATAAAAGAGGGATTACATTTTGCATGACAATATTATATTAGGTGAATTATAGGAGTACACTTTGTTCCAATGATTTCTTTCTCAGACTATGTTTTCATAGACCTGAAATGTTTTTTGCTACTTTTCACCTGGATAATTCTTATTTATTTTTCTCAGATTTTAATTTAAGTATCATATCCTCATAGAGTCCTGTCCTATCCTCCAATGAAAATCAGGACTGCCTGTTTGACTCCGACAACACCTTATCATAGTACTTGTCAAAAATAAATTTATTTGTGATTATTTATTTACTATACATGATCGCTAATAGATTATGATCTTCAAAAAGCCAGTGTTTTCACTGTATATCCAACAACTGGCATAGTGCCTGGCAAATGGTAGGTACTTGATAAATATTTGTTGAGGGAATAAAGCATAAAATCTCCCAAAATAGGACAAATGACTTACCAGTGATATGGACGTGATTAGTTTTCGTAGATCCATTGGCAGTTGTGGGGACTTCTGAAAATGCTCTGGTTGTGCTGGTAAAGACATTGTCTAGGAATATAACGGGGATATCTGGACAAGACATCTCAACTTGATCAAGTGGTATAATAGCATGACTGGGTTTCATATGCTATTTGAAAGAACTCAATTTAAATTGTCTAAGTATCCCTTAAATATTATGTGTAAAGTTTATTAAGAACCAATTTATCGCAAGGCTGGAATCCTGAGATTTGTCTAACAATTGCCAAAGGAATAAAATTTCCTATTGGTTGAAAAAAAATTCCTATTAATTGAAAAAAATATCCTATGGGTTGAAAACAGGAAAATTTCCTATTGGTTGAAAAAAAAAATAAAAAAGAAGCTTCATACTTCCAAACAACAAAATGATGTCTGCTGAAGAATCTCCATGAGAAATGTAAGTGGTACAGAAAAAGGCCAGAGTTGGGGGTCATGGATAAGTGAGGCTCTAATCCTATTCTCTTGGTATGAGAGGTTCAGCTGATCAAAGTACTGATTCTTCTCCACATCAATATGTTTGATAAGGTTAATAAAAACTCCTTTGCCACATTAGACTAGACAAATACATGTTGACTAATTATTCTATTTTCCAATAAAATACTGAAATATATTTTTCATAGATATAACTAGTAAAAAATGCTATTGTGTAGATTTTTTTTGAAATAAAATGTATAAAAATCTAAGGCTTGGTCTCTATCGTCTTTGAATGGCTGAAAAGAATTTTGATTCCATTCATTGTAATTTTCATCATCAAGATGTACTTTTATGTATCTATCTGAGGCTGGCTTCTTATCAGTTCTTGTTTTTACACCTGTGTCCAAATAAAGCTGACCACTACCTTCAGTGTCTCTAAATCTTCCCCAGGTACTCACCATGAAGTGTTGAGCCTGCGCCCGAGGGGGATGAACTGTATGTTTCACTGGGTATCTGTGAAAATGCTAAAGGAAGAAGATATCAGAAGAGTTAATCTATATATACTAGTTATTCTATTATCTCTTCTTGACTGCTAATTTAATCTAATAATTATAAAAAAGGATATTAATGAATACTTAAAGCAAAATCATTAAACTGTGCCGTAGCACACACTAGAATGTCCTCAAACAAAGTGGGAGTTGAAGGGATTCTTGCAGTTCCGATGTCCATATGGAAAGAAAACACTAGAAGGGGTTCCTCTAGCCAGAGTGTGTCATGCTCATTCCATAGATGAGCCAAAAAAATGGAAGAGAATGAAGGTCCAGGTGTGTTATGGTGGCGTTTAGTCAAGGAAAGCTGCCAATAGGACTTTGAGGACCTTGCTAGAACATGCATAAGGGAAGAAAACACTTTGTACTTGTGGGTCAGCTGACAGTCTTGCTGAACTGAGAAAACGAAACGTGTCAGCAGTGAATTATCAGACCCCTGTGGCCACAGGCCTTGTCAGCTGCTGAGTGAGTCCTTTTGAAGCATTTAGAGGCAAACCTTCCCCTTGAGTGGATGGCAGCAAACTCAGACAGCACATATGGGTTTTGAAATAGATCTAACAACTCATTTTGTTTATTGCCCTGTCTCTGGCAAGAAAGATTCGCTCCTTGGCAGACACCACATATCTGTATTTGATAAAAGGCCTGCAGTGCAATGTAAAGTAAAATAACTACAGTAATGCATGGTTGTAATCAGTACAAATATATTACATCCATTCATTTAAAATATTAGCATACGTGATGTTCGTAGTTAAAAGCTTTCTTGTATGTCAAGACCAAATCAAATGAGCAATACCAAAATAAAACAAACCACACCCTCAAACCTCTCCTTTCCTTGTTTCTCCTTAGATGCCAATAGCAGCTGCAGTTGCTGACAGAGGTGTGTGATCAGGCCCTCCAGAAGAGGTGAGAGTCCATTCTTTAGGGCTTGATTACAGGACAATTGGTCATAGCTATTTCCATTTGGGGTCACCTGAGAAGTAAGAGTGGTTTCATATGCAGCTTTTTTACAGTCTGAGTTCAGGGAGATGTTCTTATTTTCAGTATAACTGTCTGATCCTGCATACGTGATCTTTATTAATTTTTTGTCCTAGACAGAATACCAAGGCCTATTGACGATGATGGACTAAGCGTTTTTTAATGATTATACCATTAGCCAAAATTTGATTTCCAAAGAACAATAACTAACTGAAAAACAATTGGGACCAGGTCTAGATTTAGGTAAAAGTATGAAAAAGGCAGTTAACCTTGTAGTTTTTTTGCTAAATATGGTATGGTGACTCCTTTAATTTCTTACTTTCTAAACTTGATGTCTTTATTTTGCATCTCATCAAAGTATGTTTGCAAGAAAGAATGGGATAAATTAATTTATGCTAAAATCTAAATGGCTGAATAAGTGCTATCCATTTAAGGAAAATGGGTATTTAAAAAATATTTTCCATTTTATGTTTATTATCAGTGAGTCAATGTAGAACATTTTGTAATGGTTAGTGATGTGTGGACACTAATAGTTTTCAGCAAGTATACAGTGCCAGGTTTTTCTGGTCAATATTGATTTTCTCCAAGCAAAATAACCTAACATAACACAATTTCAGGAGATGGTCATACCATCAGCACAATTACAAATTACAAACATTACAACACTTAAAAGTATGCAATTTTCTTTTTGTAATTTCATAAAACTTCTTTTTGGACTTCTAGTAACTTTCCCAATTTTAAAAGATCCCTCATAATAATTAAAAAATCAAAAAACATAAGCCACTTTGGAAAAGTAGGGAGTTATTTTTCTAATTTTGACTTTGAGGTTTTTTGTTTTTGTTTTTAATCTGTTAACAACAGGTAGTGGGAAGTATGGTGAGAGAGATGAAGACAATGGAGTTTCCTGTTGATGGATTCCAATGTCTGAAAATACTTAAATACATAAAGGTAAACTTTCAAGACCAGAAATATATTGTAAAAAATAGTCTTTCATCAAGGTGAAGAGATGAACAATTCTGGTATCACTTGCTCTTGCAGAAGAGAACATCCTGAAGAATGCTTGTTTATAGAATCCTCTGTAAGACACAGTTGGCTACTTCTAGTGATTCATCTTATGATGAAACAATACTTTCTTGAATGCTTATCCACTCTATCATTTAGAGATCTAATTTTTCAGAATATGAAAATTTGGCTAATTTGTATGCCCTTTTAAAGTCTTCTTGGGAGTCTCAGCAGAATTATGTTACCATTGTTTCTTTTTTTTGAGACAGAGTTTCGCTCTTGTTACCCAGGCTGGAGTGCAATGGTGTAATCTCACTCACTGCAACCTCCGCCTTCCAGGTTCAAGTGATTCTCCTGCCTCAGCCTCCCGAGTAGCTGGGATTACAGGTATGTGCCACCATGCCCGGCTGATTTTGTATTTTTAGTAGAGACGGGGTTTCTCCATGTTGGTCAGGCTGGTCTCAAACTCCTGACCTCAGGGGATCCGCCTGCCTCAGCCTCCTAAAGTGCTGGGATTACATGCGTGAGCCACCGCACCTGGCCGCTATTGTCTTTGAATTGACTGAAATGTTCTGTGTACTTCAAGGCAACATCATGTTCATTAACTGCATGAGGTAATTCTCCTTTAAATCCTTTGAGTACACATTTTCACAAATCCACAAACAAACGCTACGTTGACATTCGGATGACAAACACCAGCTTGACTGATAAACTTCTCTACGGCACCAATATCTGCTGAAAATATGAACATGGATACCGTGTTACTGAAGCTTCTCAAGTAAATTATTATATCCTTCCTTGAGCATAACATCAAGTTCTTCCACAATTTCTTTAAATTTCATTTTTTGGTAAAGCTTGTTCAACAAAGACACTATGTTGGGCAGCATACTATTCTACCATAAATGGGTACTTCTCTTGAAGTTAACAGGTTCAACTTCAATAATAAAATATTTTTCCTTCAGTTGCAATAACCTCTTTGACATTCGCCTGTGACAAGTTTATAGTTGTCAATCATATTATGACACATTAGGCATCTTTTCCCATGGTAGGAAAATCTACTTAGTGTCATATCAAAGTCCATTATTATTAAAGTTTGGCATCTTCCTTTAATAAAACCACAGATAATTTTGTTATCTTTGCAGGGTTCTTGATGCAAACTGAACTTTTCTGGAATTCTTGCATCATTTCTACATGCACAGCAGACTTTTGATAAGTCACTTCTTAGCTATTCAATATTCCTTAAGGCATTCTGAGTTCTTCTGCTTTTGATTGTATCCTTGAAACAACAGTATAGGTGGCAAACTATATCCAGAGATGCAAGGCCTGGCCACAGGAATCTTGATGATCTTGATTTTTCATCTCATCTTCCTTTTCAAGGTGAGTATGTACTAGGTCAGCACCACCTCTGCCACCCAGGTGCACACACTGGTGCTAGCTTCTGTGCCCACTTTTGTCATGTCCACCTGGTCCACAAATACGGCCCTCATACTCTTGTTGACAAAGATGACACTCACAAGCTTTGGAATCTTGGGGCTTGTGCCTTAACCATGGTGAAACCCATGAAGCTCCCAGAAATTTGTGCAGGCATGCCTGACTTTATTGCACATCACAGACACAGATACTGCTTTATTTATTGTTTATTTTTTTTTACGAATTGAAGGTTTGTGGCAACCCTGTGTCAAGCAAGTCTATAGGTGCCATTTTTCCAACAGCATGTGCTCAATTCATGTCTTTTCGTGTCTTTGTGCCACATTTTGGTAATTCTTGCAATATTTCAAACTTTCATATTATTGTTATTTCTATTAGAGTAATGTGTGATCAGGGATCTTAGATGTTACCATTGAAATTGTTTTGAGGCACCACAAACTGCACCCGTAGAAGATGGAGAACTTAATTGATAAATGTTGTGTGTGTTCTGACTGCTTCACTTACTGGTGGTTCTCCCATTTCTCTTCCTCTCCTTGGGCGTCTTTTTTTTTTTTTTTTCTTTAATCTGAGACAAAACAATATCCAAATTCGGCCAATTAATAATCCTAAAACAGCCTCTAAGTGTTCAAAGGAAAGGAAGAGAAGCACGTTTCTCAGTTTAAATCAAATGCTAGAAATAATTAAGCTTAGTGAGGAAGATATGTCAAAAGCTGAGACAGGCTCAAAGCTAGGCCTTTTGGGCCAAATCGTTAGCCAAGTTGTGAATGCAAAGAAAAAGTTCTTGAAGGCAACTAAAAGTGTCACCTCAGGGAACACATAAATGATAACACTGCTGATATGGAGAAAATTCGAGAATATGTGGTGTTTGGTTTTCTGTTCCTGCATTAGTTTGCTGAAAATAACAGGTTCCAACTCCATCCATGTCCCTGCAAAGGACATTTTTATGACATTTTCATTCCTTTTTATGACTGTATAGTATTCCACAGTGTATATGTATTACATTTTCTTTATCCAGTCTATTATTGATGGGTATTTAGGTTGATTCCATGTCTTTGCTATTGTGAACAGTGCTGCAATGAACATACTTGTGCATGTGTCTTGAATAATAGAATGATTTATATTCCTTTGGGTATACACTCAGTAATGGGATTGCTGGGTCGAATGATATTTCTGCCTCTAGGTCTTTGAGGAATTGTCACAATGTCTTCCACAATGTTGAACTAATTTACACTTCTGCCAACAGCGTAAAAGCATTCCTTTTTCTCCACACCCTCACCAGCATCTGTTGTTTTTTGACTATTTAGTAATAGACATTCTGACTGAGATGATATCTCATTGTGGTTTTGATTTGCCTTTCTCTAATGATCAGTGATGTTGAGCTTTTTTTTTTCATGTTTCTAACCACACGCATGTCTTCTTTCGAGAACTGTCTGTTCATGTCCTTTGCCCACTTTTTAATGGGGTTGTTTGTTTTTTGCTTGTAAATTATTTATAGATGCTGGCTATTATACCTTTTTCAGATGGATAGATGGCAAAAATTTTATTCCATTCTGTAGGTTGTCTGTTTGCTC